TGTGCCAATGATGATATTTCTGCCTTAGTGCTTATTCCTATATATTGATTGCAATGCATCATTTACATATACAGGGACTATTGATTGTGAATAAAAAGGTAATTTATCTGATGTTAAAATTATCTTTAAAATGAACAGAGAAAAAAGGTTTTCTGAACTTGTAAAATAATTTAAACGACATAGTCTTTCATATCCATTTCCTATGTTGTTTCTAAGGTTTGTTATAAAAACCTCTGAGATTTCATTTTTTTTTCTCTTCTAATTTTCCCAGTCACTTGGTATGAGGGGAGAAATATCCCCCTTTGCAACTCCCATTATTCTTCATTTATGTTGCAACTAAAGCCCTAGTCCAGGAAATAGCTGAGCACATCCTTTTCTCCTATTGGTCTCAAAATATACCCATGTCCTCTCTTGAATGTAGGTCAAATTTTGTATGAATTTATAGTTTGAAATATATATAACCTTTAGGATACATTTTATTATGTAACTACATGATTGTTTAGTACAATAAAATAATTAAAGCAAAATCTCCGTGTAAGAAATATGTTTGTCTATACAGAAAAAAAAACACCAAAACCAGTGCTAACATTTTATTTTAATTGCCTATGTACAGTGCCTGAAATCCCAACAGATTCAGCTGAGTTCACCATAGTTTCAGAATAAACCCATTGAATTCCAGACATAAATATGGACTGCGTCCATAACTCTTCCCTTCAGCTGGGTTTATAATTAGCTTGTTAGTCCTCCTACAGCTTAAGAGAAATGACCTTTTTAGAGTCAAGGTATCCTTTCTCATGATAGCATCAGAGTTATGACAGTAAAAAATTTTATTGCTTTGTTTATTGGACTTGCAGTCAATTACATCTCTGCCTCTTAACATGACAAGATTATTTTTAAAGTCAAATTATTAGAGTTAGAGAGCATTTTTATTCAAATATTATCACCCGTGAGGGAAAGTACAGTGCATATCACATCTGCTATCCTAGGCAGACATTCACCCAGCTAGGTTTTTGTTTGTGAATGTGTAAGCATTTCACCTAAAGATCAAAAGGAACTGTATCACTGGAGAAAAGAGGATTAGCTGCATCAGAAAAACAATACTAATTTGTTAGTGGTTTTGCTAACATATCAGACTTTTTAAGGAACTCTCTGGTAACTTTCTCCAACATTTTTAACTGCTGCAGATGGCCAGTGGTGATTCCCAGAGAAACGGAGAAGATCAAAACCATAAATGAGTACCTGGCCTTCCTTAAACTTGAATTTTACAGCAAAAACTGTCATGTTATAAAAATGTGTTCTGTTCAGAGGCTCAGATAAGTAAGGTACTTTGCACTCCAACAAATCTCAGCCTGACCTGTAGTCTAATGCAAAATGGCAAAAGTTAGGCATAAACCTAAACCTCCCTCAGAACTACTGTCAGAAGAATGACAGTAGGACAAGAGGGCACGGGCTTAAGCTCTGTCAGAGGAGGTTTAGGTTGGATATTAGAAAGAAGTTCTTTACAGAGAGAGTGATCAGGCATTAAAATGGCCTTCCAAGAGAGGTGGTGGATTCACCGTCCCTGGAGGTTTTTAAGATGAGGCTGGATGTGGCACTGAGTACCATGATATAGTAATCACAGTGGGGTTGGATCAAGGGTTGGACTTGATGATTTCTGAAGTCTCTTCCAACCCAGTTAATTCTATGATTCTATGATTCTCCATTTTGTTTTGACTTTTTTTCTTTTTTTCCAAAACACACTGATATCTTTTTTTCTGGTGTGATATCAACATTTCTGAAATTGCTGACAAAATCAAAAGCAATGACTAGGAAGATGAGGAGATACAGGCTGCAAAGGGACTCAACATTTTCATTGAACTTAGAGAATTTGTTGTTGGGGTATTCTCAAAGGGCTTACATATATCAGAAGACAATCCAGCTGAGATTCTGACCT